CAGTCCTTACAAGAGATGTGTCTTCTTGAAGTGGATAGTGGTTAATACTGAGACACCTCACTGGTCAAAGTGCAGAAAATATGTGCCTTTGGGATGCTCAGCCAAAATGGGACTTATTTTTTACAAACATCACCCCCAAAGACTTAGGAAACATAACTGAAGATGGGGCAGAAAGACTGAAAGAGCCAGAAGTTGGAGAAGACTGCTGAAACAACAGTGTCTTCTGAATATGACAGGACTTTTGCCTCATGAATTCACAGCAGTGATAGTTGCCTTCATAAAATAGAGAATATCAAAGTTTCATCATGGAGGGGAGAAATTTTTGAAGACCCAATGCCTAGCTACAAAGATAATGGGAGCTAATGGCTGCTGAGGAAAGGAGAGCCAGTTTTCTTTATGGATGTGGTCTCTGGTAGGTTGTCCATGCTCTAGTATAGTCCTACTCTCATGCAAATATATAAAAACTAAATAGACTCAGTATATTAAAAATAGGAGTACATGAAGCTGGAAGAGGATATGGTTAACGTAGTCTTGGAGGAGTTGGAGAAATGGAAGGTGGATATGATCAATACACACTATATATGTATGAAATTCTCAAACAATTAAAAGAAATATTAAAAAAAAACTATTGGCCCAGGGAAGAGTTGAGGTTATTGTCACTGCTGTTGGATTCATAATAGTATTAGAATGTAAGGGACTATTGCTCAAGATGAAATATCCTTTGGATATAGGACATGGATATCAAGCTTCCTCCCTGCTGGCTAACCTTCAAAGTACTGGGAGATTTCTTCCATGTAATTGTTGTAGAATTATTGTTAATAGTTGTAATTCAAACTCTGTGATACACTGTTCAAATGCCATATAAGATGTGCGTGTTGGTATAACAATAGCAGGACTTTCATGAATTTTAGGTAAACCTTTCCAATTGAATTCATAGTCCATTTCACAGGAAAGAACTCTGATCTAGAACTGTAAGCTAGAACAAAAGCTTGTGAGTCCGGTAGTCATAGGTCCCCATGAAGAAGGAACTGCTTTTAAATTCAGGTTATATGTCTGTCAAATTTCCTTCTAGACATTTGAATTTTTATGTCCACAAATTCCTATTGCTGTCAGTTTCAATCAGTTATGGGAAGCAATTACTTTTTTCAGTGAGTGGTATATTGCAGACACTCATAGCTGGCTATGCTCCTGAGAACAAGTGACTGTTGCTGTGACATGATGGCTAATAGTGAGGGAGGAGGTATAGGCAGGATGTTCAGGCAAAGAGTGGGTAGGAGGAGGAATTTAGGCACAGGGAGAAAAAGAAAGAAATGCCAGGGAGACACTAGGGAAGCAGGAAAGTAGGACATACAGAATGAAAGGTAAAAATCCCCAAGGCAAAACCTAGATGATTAAAAACAGGTTAAGTTATAAGAGCTAGTGGTACAAGCTGAAACTAAGGTCAACCATTCATAATTAATAATAAGTCTCAGTGTCTTTATTTGGGAGCTGGTTGGTGGCTCAGAGAAAATTCCAACTACAGTTCACAGGTCCCCAAGAAGAATAATACAAGGCAGAAATATGCAATCATTTGCACACATTAACAATTTATTAAATTATGTTTACTATGTATTCAAATTGACAACAACAAAAGCAATAATAATTCTCAGCAGACTCTCCTTTCTGAACAATCACAAGGCTAATTGAAATACACAGGTTGATATGTTTCTTTTTTAACCATTTATTTATTCATTTGTATGTTGAGTGTTTTTTTTGGTGTGTGTGTGTGTGTGTGTGTGTGTGTGTGTGTGTGTGTGTGTGTGTGTGTAAAATCAGGAGAATTGGTTTTGCTTTTTGAGAGATGATTTCCAAGTACACTATTGAATATTAGTTCGAATATGAGAGCGAGAAAGCTGAATTTGTAAATCAATGATAGTAATCTGAGCTTTTTTATTTGTATATAATATTCAACATAATTTGACTAAGCACATAGGACATTCATAAATAAGTACACTAAATGTCAGGTTCAACTGCATCTGTCAGCATTCAAACAACCAAACATACAGTGTAACAATATGAAAATTATATATATATATATATATATATATATATATATACATATATATATTTGTGTGTGTGTGTGTGTGTGTGTGTGTGTGTGTGTGTGTGTGTGTGTGTGTGTGTATTCTGGAAAGACGCACTCAGTCACACTTGTCTCCACCACATAACTTTCATTGCTCTGTCTTTAAGATTATAAAATTATTACAATATTTCTCCCTTGCCTTCATCCTCTCCAGTACTTCCATACACCCTCATCACTATCAAATTTATGCTTTCACTTTTCATAAATCATTATTACATGCATATGTGTATTCATTTTAAGAAACCTGAAAATTGGAGACAAATACAGCATATTAACTTTCAGGAAAATTGTAAACATAGAATTTGGAATAAACTGGAAATTAGTATATGTACTTTACTTGGGCAAGTATCTTGTGAATTTTCATGAAGGGTATAAAATTTAACACATTGAATTTTTGAAACTTGTCTTAGTCCATCATTTTGTATATCAAATTTTGATATTTACCTGTGTTTTAAATTGATTCTATTAGTTAATAAACCAAGAGGTTTTTATGAAGCAAGCCACTGGGACATAAAATTTGTAATAAAGAAGCCACATTTCATACTTAGAACATTTATCTGAATACTACATGTTAAATTTTTTTATTTTTTATATAGTTTGGACAAATGATCAATTTAATTCAGACATTTTGTAAAACACTGAGCAACATGTATTTAAGTATCCTTTGTTAAACTTCTAGCAGAAAGTATTCTATGAATGTAGATTAAAATGTGGTTTTATTCTATTAGTTTCTATATCCCTCAAGTATTATTATAATAAAACTTCTCAATATGTATCCTTGCCCAATGCCCACAATTTAATAGATTGAACTTTGAGACTGTGCTTCACAAAAGAGCTCTTTTAAGCAATTTCTTTTAAAATAAAGATGAAGGTACAAAAAGTACCTTCTTACAGTTAGGTATCATATTATTAAATTTCTGTTTTTTAATAGAATTTCCCAACATTTTGTGAGGTTGTTTCTTTAGTAGCTATCCAGTTTCAAAATAATGGGAAATGTATTCCATCAGTTAAGTAACATCTTTGGACAATTTGTTCACAAAAGCAACTGTAATTCTCAGTTAACACCGTGAAGATATTCAAACAAATAGGACATCAACACATTAAGAGCTATATACAGTAAATAGACTTTCACTTAGCTACTGAAATATATGAGACTTTATAAAAATGATCACTTTTCAAGTTGAAGTTCATCAATTGTAATGCATTTCCTGACATCATATCACCTCTTCTCCAAGCTTGAGCTCATCTATCTCTCCTCTGAATTCCCCTAATATTTGTTGATTTATATATATTATCCATTAGTTTGTCTTCTTAGTACAAGTTAAATTGAGTACTCATTTACCTCATATTTAGCTTGTAAGCTCTTGGAAGTTAGAAAGTATATCTTATCCCTTTCCTTTACTGTCCATTATATATGAAGGATAAAATATCTGTCTAATAAATAAAGGAAAGAAGGGACTAATTAATGGTCTTGACTCACTCTTCTCCTACCATCTTTATCATTCCCTCATCAAAAGAAAATATATAGCCAGGCGGTGGTGGCTCACTCCTTTAATCCCAGCACTCGGGAGGCAGAGGCAGGCGGATCTCTGTGAGTTCGAGGCCAGCCTGGGCTACCAAGCGAGTTCCAGGAAAGGCGCAAAGCTACACAGAGAAACCCTGTCTTGAAAAACCAAAAAAAAAAAAAAAAAAAGAAAATATATATATTGGAAAGTGTAGTTCATTTGCTATTTGAAACAGAAAAACAAAGCATGAGTAGTGAAAATAATAGGAAACAATAGTAATTACAACATATAATTTGTTTTCCATCACCTAATTGCCATAAACTTTTGAAAAATTATGACAATGTGATTTTGACTGTTTGACAAATTATTATATATATTTTTAAATGTTTGCTGGGTTTTTCATTATATATATATATATATATATATATATATATATATATATATATATATACATATATATATTCTTCTTGCACAATTGTGTACGCATTTGTACATGTGCATGCATGTGTAAATGCATATTTATGTGCCTATGTAGCTCAGGGGTTATCCTCAGTTGTCTTTCACTATTTATTTTCCCCGTTACATTGTGAGAGAGTCTCTCACAAAATCTGGTGCTCACTGACAGGCTAGAATGATTGGATACCATGCTCCATAGATATGGCTGTCTCTATTTTTTCAGTTCTCAGGTTACAGAAGTACATGACAATGGCTGGCTTTTTTATGTGGTATTGGTAATCTGAACTCAGGTCTTCATGCTTGGGTGGTAGCACTTTATCAAATGAGCCATTTCCCCAGCCAGGCTCTACTGATTTTTAACAGATATTTTGTTCATATTGTCTCTAGTTAGCCAATGGATAAATAAGAAAGTTACAGTGATTTTCATTTTACAATTGAAGAAATACATTTAGGAGAGTGAAGTATCATAATACAGGTCATTCAATCAATCAGTGGCAAACTAGAATTGGCACCAAAGCCTTTCTGATTATAAATACTGTACAGTGAAGAATACCTTACAATTTTCTCTCAAACTTCAAAAAAATGTACCATGTTTGCATTGCATCATCCCACAAATAAGAATGTATTTTACATAACCCTCCATTCTGTGATTAGTTTGGCCGCACATCCTACACACTGTGCATTTGAATTCAAGACACAAGACTTGAATAAAAGAGAGATCTGTGACAGTAGCAAGAAAAAAAACCCAAACAACAACAAATCCTGGCAGGCCTAGTAAGAAACCAGATAAAAAACACTGCACAGTAATGGAGTCAATGATCTCTGTGTTATTACTGACAATTTAGTGGTACTGCTGATATTTATCAAAGCTTGTATGTAATTAATACCTTTGTCTTCTTCAGAATAGTGAGTCCTACCTTTATAACAGAGGCACCAGCTCTGGAGAGTGGACTGTGAATCTGAGCTGCAGCAGCCATGTTGGCAATAGTATTGAGATGATTCATCTGATTCATTGCCATGGCAACTGATGCAGGAGGTAAGCTGACTGGAAGAAGGGGATGAGGCATCATCATAAATGGCAGATCCAGACCTAAAAGAGACAGTGTTCAATAAAGTAGTTACATTAAGGCACTAGAAAGATTTTCTAAAGCATCTTCATTCATTTTTATTAACATTTTATAATTGCTTTATTATACGGTAGTAACATTGTGGGCCATCAATAGTATCAGTAGGATTTTACAATGTTTAATATCTGAAAAAAATCTCCCTATGTTCACATAACTTCTATTATGTAACTTTCTTAAACAGATTTAATAGGTGAGTTAATAAGGCAGAATACATATCACCTAAGATTCAAATTATTAAAGAAAATAATTCTTCAATAAAAGGAATGCTTAAAACTGCAATTTGAAATATTTGTTAATGAAGAATAAGTATCATGCTAAAATACCAACCTGCTTTCCATTTTAATAGCAAATATCAGTATTGTATAATATTACCAGGAATTTAATGCATTTCCTGCAAGTTGAAATATTTTCATGTATTTTAGATATCTTAAATAATAACTCTCAAATATTATGCATTCTGCTTGTGATAGACATGTCATTAGGTAAAATGTTACACACTAAAATAGTTGTCTACTTTTTGCTTCTCAAGTTGGTAAAATTAAAAACTGTCTTTGAGCAATTCCAAGATAAAGTTAAACTATGTGGATATTAGTCTTTTAAAATGTATTTAAAAATCATTCTGTTACAGTAGTCTTACCATTTTGGACAGTGCTCAAAAAATATTCTTTAACATATTTTCTAAAATATCATTACCTTTTTTTACAATTTATTATGGGCTATGCAAATATTATTATGGACAGAACTAATATTGATCCTAGTTACAATAACAAAATACTAATATCTAGTTTTTCCTCTCTGCACTCTCATTTTTATTTCTTCTCATGTTATAACAAAAAGGGAGTAAGAAGAGGTGTTTTCAGAAGACACTGATATCTAATTTACCAAAACATTAATAGTAGTAATGCTATCACTCAAATATGTGCCTTAGGAAAACATTTTCTCTCATTTTCTGAAAGCATATAATTTACATAAAATTGTAAAATGAAATCCAACTTAGAGTTTGAAAGAAAGAAGTGGTGAGCTATTTGAGGTCTATCTTCCTAATTCAAGTGTGATGGTTGATTTAAAGCTGTTAGGAAGTACACTGAGAGCATAAAGTAGCCAAGTACACTAAAACTCCTAAATAATGAATACACTTGCCTCCAGTGTTTCTGTTGAAGGCAGCCATAAAATGCAGTCACTAGAGTTGTACAAGTATAAAAAGAAGCCTAGAAATTTATATTATATTTGAAAGTCAAAGAAAAGGAATGTTTTTGTGTAGCACGAATCTTAAAGGTACTTAATAAAATCAAACCTGAGGCCAGTTATTGGGGTGAATGCTGCAAGATCAGAGAAGCAGAACAAGCCACAGCTTCCTCACCTTGCCAGTTCCTCAGCAGGTCCTGTCTCCTCAGACTGGAAGCCTATGAGTCCTCATATCCGAATGGATCTCAGCTGAACTGCTGCTAGAAGCCTAAAAGCCTAACCAGCCAAATGCTTCTAGTTTCTGGTCTTCACGCCTTATATACCTTTCTGCTTTCTGCCATCACTCCCTGGGATTAAAGGTGTGAGTCACCATGCTTGACTGTATCCTTGAACACACAGAGATCCATGTAGATCTCTGTCTCTGGAATGCTAGGATTAAAGGTGTGTGCTACCACTGCCTAACCTCTATGTTTAATATTGTGGCTGTTCTGTCTCTGACCCCAGATAAGTTTATTAGAGTGCACAATATTTCGGGGAATACAATACCACCACATTTTTGGACCCCTTACAATTATATGCCAGATAAGATACATTAAAGGTACCTACCAGAATTGACTTACAGTATTCAACATTTAAATACATTTTAGGAACAATTTAGCATACTAAAGTATCAGCTATAAAAGATTTTTTAATTTTAATTTTAATTTTGCAATACAATTCAGTTCTACATATCAGCCACGGATTCCCTTGTTCTCCCCCCTCCGGCCCCCCTCACCTTCCCCTCAAGCCCACCCCCCATTCCCACCTCCTCCAAGGCAAAGCCTCCCCTGCGGACTGAGATCAACCTGGTAGACTCAGTCCAGGTAGGTCCAGTCCCCTCCTCTTGAGATGATTAAGTTATAGAATTCTCAGCAGAAGACTAACAATATTGACTTCAAAATGGCTGTCCCTACTATAGGCAATTATTTTTTTTCTCAGAGGAACAGTAAAAGTAAGTCTTCATTTTAACTTGATAATTTCTTTCTAATACATTTCTATATAAATCTACAACAATCTTTGTAAGTTATTGTTTCTGAGATCCCTTTATAAGCATTTAATTGTAGATTGATATATAAATCTAGTTTTATAATTATGGGTATAAAGTGAAATCATAATGATGTATTGAATGTAGACAGAAAACACTCAACATATTCATCTCCTCAAATACTTATAATTCTGCAGAGTATTATGCTAAGTGAAATAAACTAGACACATAAAGATCACGTGATCTTTCTTATATGAGGAAACTCTTAAAGTAGAATTTTCTTATTAGTTATACAAAATTACTTGCATATACATGTGTTTATATACTCTACTAATCATATATTTCAAGCTATCATGATGGAGTACTTAATAACATATGATAATTAATTAGGATTCACCTTTATCCTAAGAACCGTTACCTAATTTTACATATAACAAACATCAGTAACCTCAAAAGGCTCTCTTCACAAATCCAAAATCATCTCAAAAATCAAGAGCTTGATTCTTGTTTATATGCACAGTATTTTAGTCACAAATTAAACTGTAGATTAAAAGTTGTTCTCAATGTCTTCCTTTATTATTGAAAGGCTTTAATAAGCTTTAGTTCATTTTATACTTTCCTTAACAGTGTAGTAATCTTTTACTGTTTTCAAATGATATTCCAGCATCACCCAGACACCATCTGGCCACATCAAGAAATAATTCTTACTTTAAAGTTCAATTGACATGCAAACTAAATGCAAACTACAAACAGAATTTAACAGTCAATTGACAGTTTTAAAATACAATCCATCAAGTATTTCAAATAACCACAAAGGACTTAAAAGTCACAATTTTAGATACCAACTGGAAGTATCTAATTATCAATTGGCTATAATTCCTTGAACTCTAAGCTAATATTTACATTATAGGCCAGTTACACATGCAAAGCATATGCAAATATGTAATGATTTAGGTTCACCTTTTGCTAAAGCTGAAAACATTAAATTAAAATCCAATAGTATACAACAGTATGGCAATGTGGCTCATTTAATTCATGGGCTAGATATGTATATAGACTTTTAATAACATGGTAATTAAGATAAATCTGAGTTTTAAACAATCTTCAAAATGAGTTTTCTCATTCCTGTTAACAATGATATAATGCAAGCTAATATTAGCAACATTTCTGTTGTACCTTAGTATTCTAGCAACTACTAGCATTCTTATATAAAGGCATGAATCACCTCTTCCTGGCCATGAAGTGTGCAAACTTCAGTAATACTCCAATTATCCTAAGTATGACATCAATTGGTCTCAAGACATGTCTGATTATTTCTATATAATCTTTCCATTTCTATAGTGATATCATATAGCCAGAAGTTTCTCTGGTCCTGCCTGGCCCCGTGGTTGGACGAATCTCTCCCACCGGCGTCTCACAGCCACTTGGTCCCAAGTAAACACACAGATGCTTATATTACTTACAAACTGTATGGTCTATGGCTCAGACTTCTTACTAGCTAGCTCTTATAACTTAACTCAACCCATATCTATTAATCTATGTATCGCCACATGTTTTGTGGCTTTTACATATTGCTCCTTGGACGGCTGTTTGGCATTTCCCCTTACTCTCCTTTTTCCTCTCACTATCTCTCTTGGATTTTCCCACCTGGCTCCATCCTGCCCTGCTATAGGCCAATGCAGCTTTACTTATTAATCAATGGGAGCAACACATATTCACAGCATACAGAAAGATATCCCACAGCAATTATCATACAGCAGTCTCTTCAATAACAATTCCTAATGTCTCTGGTTATTCTTCCTGAGCCATTTCGGTGACCCTCCACTCCAATTTGTAGACTTCCAAAGACTACTTATTACCACTAGAATAAAGCACAACATCCATGAATTTGATTATTGCATTTCTAGTTTTGATATCTCATTATGTTTTGCATGTATTCTTCACTCGAGTCCCATGGTAATATTTGTATTTCTCTACAGATTTAACTCACTGTAACATTACCTCACATAGATGATTTCTTTTGAATTGTATCTCTAATGCAATGTAACACAACACAAAATAAATTTTTTTCACAACAACCTTTGAGGTAGGTTTTATTGTCCCCATTTTTTAGATGGAAAACACAACTTTTTTTTAATGAAATCTAATTTTATTAAAGGATAGTTTGCTTCTCCCAGTGGTGACCCCACTTATTGGTTGTCCAGTGCAGCGTGGTCATCCATGAAAACATATACACACCAACAAAACAGACTAAACAGGTTTTATTTATGTTTTTATGCATACATATACATATAGAGGGGAGGAAGTGATGCAATTCTATCTTAATTCAAAACATTAAAAGACTATTTTAGAGCAGTTTTAGGTTTATAGAAAAGATAAGCAAAAATTCTGCGATACTGCATGAAACCCTACTGTGCCTGCACAAACAGCTAACCTTCTTACTAGTTTCTTACATTTCTGTAGTATATTGTTAGCATCAGCATATCATTACTTATAAATTATTATTCATCACATTTTATAGTTTATACAGAATTTACTTTTTGAACTATTCCTCACCAGTTATTCAAAATGCATAATATATTGTATTCATGGTTTTAGTATCATACAGAATAATTACAATACATCAAAAAATGTATTGTGCTTTTCTCATAAGCTTTCTTTTCTACTTAACGTATGGCAACTACTGATCTTTGTTCTGTCTCTGTAGATTTGCTTTTATCCTAATATCATATAGTCAGGTTCATGTATTATTTA